TCGTTCCACTTAAGAAAACTTTCCATCTCGATAAAAAGCGCGATCTCGAAGAATAATCTATTAGGTATTAGACGCGAGAGGCGGACAGATGAGAAAGAAACGGTGACACAGGTGGAGGAGCGGCTACTTCCGGTGGACCGATGATGATTCATTGGATCGCGAAAGGCGTATCACCGCGCCGTGTGCCGCGCGCGAAATCTCGCTCTCTCGCCTCTCAGTCTGTCGATCGCGGAGCGAGCAACCGGTGCTCGTCACGATTTCGCTCCCGAGTTGTCTCGCGCATTTTCTACCCTCATTGTCTCCTCGCTTGTCGAAGAAACAAGTTTGTGCTATTTTCGCGATCGTAGATCGAGATGTTTATCAAGTACGTGGACGTGTTCATGGACGAAGGCTACGCGTCTGACTCGTCCAACGTACGTATATTAATATTGCTAAGATTAAAATAAATATTCGTGATTGGAAACGAGTGGAAAAATGCGGATTGGATAAAGAATCATCGGTTAATAAATCAGAGTTGAGAATATGTTTCGAAGTAGCGTGTAATTAGCCTTCGAGATGCATATATGTATGTGAAATTAATTAATCAGGTGATGCAGCGTTTACGATAATTATTATCGTGATTAATGCTCGTGCTTGCGAATCTAAATTACGAAATTTATAGAGATTCCACTTATAGAATCCTTATGTTGTTAAGGGACAGACAACTCGAAATTATATATTAAAACATTGGCGATAATTCGAGTACCAATTTGATTTTATGAATTAATCGATCAAAAGTTTTGTAATTGTACTTGAGTCAGAAACGATTATCGTTTCCCGATTTCAATTAATTTTAATCAATCTCCCTAACTGATTCGAGGAGAAAACTTTTACGACGAAAAAAAAGAATTGCATCAACTTGGAAACACTGACCGATTTTATCCCGTGGTGGTATCGTACGACGCGCGTACCAGCTTATGGTAATATGATCATCCAATCCGATCGATCGATCATCGAACGCTCGATATCGAGAATCAAATTTTGGCTCGTTAGTTTAGCTCGTCTTAAATCCCCTCTCCAGGATTAACCACGACTCGGATGGCTTTGAGCGGATACCGCAACGATCGACACCAAATCCGATTCCTCGTTTCGATCGCGAACAGAACCGATGGATATAAACGAATTACGGAAGCCTGTTCTGCGTGGGTGGTTGCGTTACACGGTGGTCGCATTTTAATTGAAAATTTCGAGGCGCGAGTGGGTGCGTCGAAGGATAAATAGGGGGGACGGTAAAAAAAAATCTTATACTATACTTTTCACCCTTGACGAGTCGTGATTAGGGGGAGAAGGGAGAATTCGCGATTGGCGATACGGACGCATATTTCCGTCGATTGGCTCACACCTCGGGATATAAATCGAGATCGAACAATTTTATATTTATATCCAACGAGGTTGGCACGAGGTCTGCGGAATCGTGGGCAAAAGCACGTGGGTGGTTATTGTAAACAGCTGGTGGAAATTCGAGGCAAGCGCGATGCGAGACGCGCCTCGTGCCCCGTTTAACAACAATTAAGCAATGAATCAACCGATCGCGGCGCCAGGGAAGAAGTGTCTTACATTGCGTTCCATCGGGACCGAGTTAGCTCGAACGAAACGGCACCACGACGTGATTGAACGGTGACTACGCCGCCAATTTACATAACTCGCCTCGATGTATCGCTCGGGCCGACGATTATCGCGATCGTACCGGAAAAGAAATCCGTCGATGCCGATCTTTCGACGTGCACTTTGCATTTCGATCGGCTCGTTGGATCGCTATATTACTACAGCTAATTCCGCTTATTTAACTGCGAACCCCTCCAAGGAAAATCAACTCTTCTTATCTCGCAATGCCTTCCTTCTACCCGTTTTCGTTTCAATCGTGCCGCATTGCAATTTGCGTTCATCATAGCAATTTGCTGTGATGATGACTTCGATGGAATTGCGCGAAAAATCGTTCGAATCGATCGAACGATTGTGATTGGACAGAAACATTGCCTAATCTAACTAAATGATTCGTGGGTGTTGCAGGTCCAGAGGCTGGCCGAATACGAGAGGTACCTGGGCCAAGAGGCGAGGAACCTAGTGGAGAACGGAAACGGAAGCGTCGGAAGTGGCGCCGTTCTCCAACGTGGTCAACTGGAGGGAGATCTTCACCGTATCCAGGAATTGTTCCCTGGAGACAATCTCCGGTTGCACGAGCGAGATGTCCTCACCACGGTATTTATTTATTTACACTCTTTTGCAATTTATTATTTTACAAAGATCGTATTAAGTTTTTCTTCTCTGCGTTTTTTTTTTTTAAATTTTTTAAAAATTAGTGGGCGTTAGGAATTAGTGCAAAAGTCTCGATGAATACAGAATGAATTTCCGGCTGGAAACAGTGTCAGTTATGGGTAAAAAGGAAACGATTCTCACGAGAGACTATTTTTCCTCGCGCTCGTGGAAAAACGTTAACCACGCATCTCACGGAACACTCCACCATGACGATATCTACCATGCTATTTGTTGATGTATCGTTGAAAACGTTGTTGCGAGATTAAACAGGAAGTTTCTTGCATTCTCTCTTACCGAGAAATTGGAGTAAGCTTTAACAGTAATTCAATTTCATTGCGCGTGTTTCTCAATTTGTTAAATATGGAAAATAATAACGGTGGAGTTTTACGTGAAATGTAATAATTTTTTTTATCAATAATCGTTAAAAAATCTTTGTTCCATCTTCGTTATATTCCATCGTCTCGTCCCTCTTCTTATTTTAATCCTAACGATTAAACAAAAGCACCCACAAAGATCCGCTGATACAGATTTTCATTCTATCTATGACGCGTCTCGACGTGTCATCGTCCCACGTGCACCGCAATCTAATCTGCATACTGGGCGTAAAGAGTGTATTGTCAAGAGCACAAGGAGTACGTGGCATCTGATAGATCGCTCTTTGCATAGGTGAAACGCGTGCTCGCGTTTCCCAATGCTTCACTCAATGCTTGCGCGCCAACCCATCTCGTATTCCCGCGAACGTGATGATGGAACGTTTCCTCGAATCACGTAGAATCACCGTCGCGTTACCTTGATTTTACGCGGCATTCATTAACATACGGTAATTCTCAACGAGGCGCAATACTATTTAGCAGTAAACTGGGAACGAAACGCGGTTTCTCTCTCGTCGAGAGATCGACATGGAGGATCGATTCGATTTCGTAAGAGAAAAAGGGAGCCGCCGCCGTCAAAGCGAAATATGTTAATCGGCTTGTAATTTCGTGTTTCTCCTCGCCGTATTTGGAGGAGAGCTATTTGTCAGACGTAACTGTTCATCCGTGTCTATCTTGACTGACGTCACTGGGCACCGGGAGAGCAGTCTCTCGATCTCTCGTCTCGAATCTCACTGGCTGGAACTGCATCGTTTCAGCGAATGGAATCTCGGTTGATCTTCCGCTAAACGGATGCAACGGTTCGCAGTGTGAACTGGCATGCCGTTTCGTTTCGTTTCGTTAAAATTAACCGGGTGAAAATTTGGAGGCGAACGGGCCAAGGAAGGCAGACGAACGGTGAAATAATGCTTGTTTAAGTTATCCGAAAGTTAATGCGGCTTGGCACGTTGGCGTCCAGTTATTAGACACCTGCTGCGAGGATGATAATAATTTATGTCCTAGATCCCAGGCATCAAAATTAGTCGTTATTTTCTTGACCCTTTAACGACGATAACTGGATAGAGGCGGGTATCGTGGATACCAAGGATAATTTAATGCTAATCCCTTGTCCAGACTCGATGGTACATCGATGGCCCACGATTACCAATTTCTTCGCGCATATATTTGTACGTAACGATAGACGTGTTAATTGGCCAAGTCGGTTAGGATCGTTGATTGGCCAGGATCTTTGGAATTTCGTTCTGCTTGCCCGGTATAAACCGTATCTCCTTTAATCCAAAGATAGAAGCAATCGTTTGTTATTGATCTCGTTCACGTGATGGGTCTGTTTCGTTTCAGAAAATGAAGAGTCTTATTCGCAAGAGGAACGGTGGAAATCCTGGAAGGCTTACGAGAGTGTTATCCCAAAAATCTTTGAACGTGTCCAACAACTCACCAGCCCCGAAATCTCCGCCGAGAACCTTCCTCTTGGAGACACCGGTACAGTTCACCACCGTGAGTAACATATCCGATATTTCCTATCCGATATACTTACTAATATAAATTCATCGGATTAAGAAGCTTCTCCTTATTTTCAGGGTGTGCAGTCCCAGGACAGACATCTTTTTCTCTTCTCGGATCTGTTGCTCATAGCAAAAGCACGAAACGGGGGTAACTTCAAGCTGAAACAATCCGTGAGAATGAGCGAGTTGTGGCTAACTGCCGGACACATAGAGGACGTGGCCGAAACGAGCAAATCTCAGGAAACGAGCTTCGTCCTAGGTTGGCCCACCACGAACGTCGTCGCCACTTTTATGTAAGTCATGATCTCTGTTATTGCACCCTCTTATTTTTTTCCTTACACCCCATCCCATCATTTTTCCTCTCGTAAATAGTCGCGATTTCGCTTCGAGGCGAAAAGAACCTTGTTTTTAAACCGTCGTCGAGGTGTCGGTTTTACGGATCACACCAATCTTTATTTCGTTGTTTCTTTTAGGACTGCTGCAGCCAGGGATCTCTGGTGGGGACGTTTGACCGAACTCGTACGAGAGGAGAGTATGAAGGAGCCGCCGGACACGAACATTCAAGTCGTGTATCACGACAGTGACACGAACACGGAATACGTAAGTGCAGCATACTCCTCTCCGTCGTTGCGCGGAATATACAGACGGTATACACACGACGTTGTTCAAACTAAACGGAGAGAGAGGATGCACGCGGCGGTCACGCCTTCACGGTCCATTCTTCGCACATATCCTACCTACCCTAGGCGAGAGACTTAACGTTCGATCGGTTCACCTTCCTGCAGGAATTCCTCTTCCCCTTTTTATATCATTTTTATAATCCCCCTTTTTCTTTTTTTATCATTGACGTCAACGCGACGAAGTGGATCTCTACTGCTAAAAAGAGCGCCTCCTTCTCTAATCTCTGTACGACTCTTGGTCGACTTGCTTGGTTATCGATCAGAGCGCGTTGTATTTAAATACATGCGCCGCTCGATGCCTCTATTAGAGGACACGCGAGCGCCTTTAACGTTTGCCGGAAGCTGGTGGGATCGACGCGAACCCATCCTCTCTAATAACTATAATCGCGAATCCAACACCCGTATTCCCGTCGTGTGTATATCTGTGTTGCGCTCGATTATTCTTGTTATTCGTGTTGCGAGCTACATCCGCATTGTTTCCATGTTCGCAGTGTAAGACGATTATGGTCGGATCCGAAATGACAGCGGCAGCCTGCGTCAATTTGGCCACGCGCCTGTTGGATCTTCAAGGACCTTTTCAATTGTGGGCAAGAACGTCCGCGGACGAGGCGCCGTATCCCTTAATAGGGCACGAGAGGCCTTTTGCGGTCAAACTGTCGAATCTACGGCACACCCTGTCCGCCGAAGAGGGTTTCGATCTGGAACATTGTAACAAAAGTGGCCACGACACGTGCCACTTTATATTAAGGCCGGTACCAAAATCGCCTGTGAAGAAGAATAAATCGAAGATCACTGGATTGCTCAGGAGATCCCTTTCGTTGAATCCGAGTTTATTCGGTGTCAATCTGTCCAGACTCGACGAGAACGGATTACCTAAACCTGTGCTGGTCATGCTTCAACAACTGTTCGCCAAGGGGCCATTTACGCAGGGGATCTTTAGAAAATCGGCCAACGTGAGAATTGTACGAGAACTACGAGATCAAATCGAGTCCACGGGTGACCCAAGCTGTTTGGAAGATGCTCCTATCATAGCGGTGGCAGCTTTGCTCAAAGACTTTTTGAGATCTTTACCGGATCCTTTGCTAACTTCCCACCTGTTTCCTCTCTGGATGGAAAGTTTGGAAACAATAAATCCTGTTCAAACTATTAAAAAGTGGGTAACCATAATGGATAATATCTTTGTTCAACGTTTAAGTTTTTCGAATTGATGTTTAACGAAAATGATGATGATTTTTCAGTATTCTAGATAGATTACCCAAAGCGAATTATACCCTGCTGTCGCATTTAATCTGCGTTTTGCACCATGTGGCACGGCGGTCGAAGCACAATCTTATGTGCGCCAGTAATCTGGGCGTGTGTTGTGGACCTAGTTTACTCTGGTCTCCGAATCCATCTGTGAATCAAAGTAGAGCGATACCTACGCTGACAGAAATGTTGATTCGTCATTGCGAGGTTCTGTTCGGCGAAGGCGTCACACAGCTTTTCGGGGAAGAACGCAGCGACAGTGGAGCCGAGGAAAGCACCGATAGCCTTCACTGTGAGCACTTTACTTTATCTTATTTCCTCTCCTCTTTCTTTATTAGTCTTATTTCTTTTTACTTTAAAAGTCTAAGATGGAACGTATAATATATCGTTTCGTTATCGTTCAATTCGTGAACGAGCGTGTAGATAATCCACTGAGGAATTTTTTTCGTTGCAGCAGGTGGGCTTTCTCTGGACAGCCTGGACCTGACGGAACCACCACGCAAGGACCATATGTCTCTTTCTCGAGACTCCGGTCTGACCTTGTCAGATTGTCAACTCTTCATCCCAGAGTCTCCTGTCGGCTCCGAGGATTCCGCCGTGAATGCCTCGTCATCCAGCTTCGACAAGTCTCTCACCAAGGAGGACAAATCCACCAACAAATCGTATATACGCGTTTACGGTGGATGGGAGGAGAGAATAAACGGTTACACGGCGAATAATCATCATCCGAATACCGTGGAACATAATTTCAGAGAGGAGAAAAACAGTATCGGTTACCCTAATCCGAATTTCCAAAGACAAGATTGGTTAAGGGCACAACTGAAGAGAACACCGAGGACCAAATTGGACGAACATGATCATCGCAAAGACAGGTTCGACGAGAAGGATATCTACGGAAGGGAATATCTCAGGCAAGATTCCATGAAGGAGAACGTAGAGAATTGCAAGGACATTTACAGGAACTCCCAGCTGGACATTACGCGGGATCTTAGGTCTGAATACGAAAGAGCAACGCAGCAGGATATTTGTACGGAGCGGGTCTCGATTCACAATTCGGAGCAGGATCTGTCGGGGGATACGACGTTGACTAGTGACAGATACGAATTCAAGAAGGAACGTTTCAACGAGTTCAAAAAGGTCAAGTCGGAAATGTATGTTAATCGCGAATCACCCGTCTCCCAGAACGGTAGCTATCATTCGGGTAGCGATCTCTACGAGTTTAAGAAAGTGAAGAGCGAGATATACGTGAATAAAGAGACGACACGTACGGAAAGATACGAATCTGAAAGTAGTATCTACGGAAACAGGGATAGAACGAGCGAGATATATGGCTCGAGAGAGAGAAACGATTTGTACTCTTTCAAGCAGGCCGAGGCAATCGATTTGTACGGTGACGAAGACGACGAAGAAGAGAGAACGTGGCCAGATACACCACCACCGCTTCCCCCGAGATTGAGGCATCTGCCGCCAGTGCACATGAATCTGGAAGACAGGCATAAAGTGGCCGGAAGGTCAAGGTCTTTACCACCACCGCCTCCTTATCGTCCGCCTCCTCAACCTCGTGCCTCGGTTACTACCAGACATCTAGGATACGGAAGATCCGTAGTTGACGACGAGAGTTACGTTTAAAAAAAAAAAACGAGGAGCCATAGAATTGTGGTCGCTTGTATATTGTGTGTGTAGGTATCATGTGCATGTGTATGTATATGTGTATGTATGTGTGTATGTGTATGCGCACACGCGCGCTGTGTATATGTAAATGTTGGCACCTCGAGAATCAAAGAAGCGAAAAGTCGCAAGTCGAGATCATGGATACACATTGGCTCGTATATATGTGGTCTCATTACGGCTGAAACTAGTCCAAACTGGAACGTATGTATGATATCGGGAACAATAGCGATGTACATATAATATCTTATTGCATGGAACGAAGAAATACATTATAACATCGCTTGATTGTTCATTTCGTTAAAATATGTAAATTTACGATAGATTATGTTAGAAATATAAGTTGTATAAGCACATTGTGTAAGTCACAAAACGCTATCGGTTGTTCGCGATTTTTAGCGATAGGACTTAACTGTTATACAGTGATTCAGGGTGCTTCCTTAACGAATCTTAATTAATAGATTTTTTTTTTTTTTTTTTTTTTTTTTTTTTTTTTTTTTTTTTTTTTTTTTTTTTTTTTTTTTTTCTCTCTCTCTCTCTCTCTCTATTAGACATTCATATAGAAACGTTTATTGTTAAATGTAAGCTTTAGCGGACAAGACTTGCGTCGAAATGATATTATTCGTAATTTTCTTTTCTTACGTGAAGAATTTTTGTAAAAAACAAGAATAA